CCGCCCGGGGCTCCATGGCCCCCGAGACGCCGCGCCGCCAACTCTCGCTGGGAAATGTCAGCGGACGAACCGCCGGCCCCGCCCGGCCCGGAAGCCGCGCCCGGCGCGAGGGCTGCTGGGGCGCGCTGCGGGCCGGGCACGCGCCGGCGCCCCTGCGGGACGGCCCCGGAGGCGCGGACGGAAAACCGCCCGACGACTCGTTTACACGCAGCAAGCCCCCGGAGGCCGAGCCGAGAGCGCGTGCGGGCGGCGCAGCGGCCCGGAGAAGCCGCGCCACGCACAGGAGGGGCCGGCGCAGGCCGCGGCGCGCGCGCCAGCGGGGACGGGGTTACCCGGCACGGACGCGCCGAGGCAGCCCCGGCGCCCCGCCTCCTCCCGCCCGGAAGGACGGGGCTGACGGGCAGGTCCCCGGAGCCAATCAGCGGCCCCGCGCGCTCCTCGGGGGGCCCCGGGGCAGACGTATTTCCGTCCCGTCGCTGCCCTTCAGGAAGTGATTGGCCTTGAGCGGAAGAGGAGAGGCCGGAGAGCTGCGGCCCGAGCGCCTCGCGAGCGCTGGTGCCACGTCCGCGGTGCCGGGGCCGGCCGGCGGCGCGATGGCGGACTGGTCTCGGGGTGAGCACTCGAGAGGGCGCCGCGGGCGTGGGCCGGCGCCGGGGCTGCGGCCGGCCGGCTCGGGGAGTCCGACCCCGGAGCGAGCTGGGCCGCCCGTGCGGGGTAGCAGAGACCTGGAGGGTCGACGGGCCTGGAGCGCGGCGCGGCGGCGGGCGCGGGGTTCACGGGCGTGCGCACGCGCAGCTCGCCCAGGGCTGCCTCCCCTGCCCTGCCCTGCCCTGCCCTGCCCTCCCCTGCCCTGCCCTGCCCTGCCCTGCCCTGCCCTGCCCTCCCCTGCCCTGCCCTGCCCTCCCCTCCCCTCCCCTGCCCTGCCCTCCCCTGCCCTGCCCTCCCCTCCCCTGCCCTGCCCTCCCCTGCCCTGCCCTGCCCTCCCCTGCCCTGCCCTGCCCTCCCCTCCCCTGCCCTGCCCTCCTCTCCCCTCCCCTCCCCTCCCCTGCCCTGCCCTCCCCTCCCCTGCCCTGCCCTCCCCTGCCCTGCCCTGCCCTGCCCTCCTCTCCCCTCCCCTGCCCTCCCCTCTCCTCCCCTGTCCTCCCCTCCCCTGCCCTGCCCTCCCCTGCCCTCCCCGCCCTGCCCTCCCCTGCCCTGCCCTCCTCTCCCCTCCCCTCCCCTGCCCTGCCCTCCCCTCCCCTCCCCGGGTCCCCAGGATCTCCTCCTGCGTCGGGCCAGCACAGTTCACTCCGCTCTGTTATGGAAACCGCTGGTTGCGGGTCCAGCCCGGCAGGTTTTGTCAGATACCGTGTGTTGGGTGTCACAGCCACCTCATGTGGGGTAAAGAAGGGGCGAGTTTCGGCTGCCCCTTAGGGGAGCTGACCGTGCTACACAGCCTGCCTCTCAGGTGCTTGGCAGACACAAGTGAGCCCTGTCTCTGTAGCTGTCTTATCAAGCAAATTCAGCTGGGGTGAGAGGTCAGCGCGAGTCTTCAGCCTGTCTGTTCTCACAGCTCAGAGCTCCGGGGCTGTGGAGGAGATTCTAGACCGGGAGAACAAGCGGATGGCCGACAGCCTTGCCTCCAAGGTTACCAGGCTTAAATCGGTCAGTGGTGGCCTGTTCCCCTTCTTTCTCCTGGGGAGTTGGGGTCAGAAGTTAGGAAGAGGGGCTGGGAAGGTGCCTCAGTGGTAGAGCGCTCGCCTTGCATGCAAGAGGCTCTGGGTTCAATTCCTCAATGCCACATAAGCAGAAAAAGCCAGAAGTGGTGTTGTGGCTCAAGTGATAGAGCGCTAGCCTTGAGCTGAAGAGCTCAGGGAGAGCTCCCAGGCCCAGAGTTCAGGCCCCACAGCTGGCAAAAAAAAAAAAAAGTTAGGAAGAGTCTTAGAGGGATATCAGGCAGCTTTCCATTAGCTTTGTTGGCTTGAGTACAACCCAGAGTGATACTTGAACCTTTCCAGTCTGTTGAGACACTGGGTCTGGTAGAGACATGGGTGAGTTTGGCTGGTCTTGATGGGTGAATGGGTACTGTGTTCTGTGACTGCTGTGGCCTGACTGTATAATCTCTGTATCCTTATCAGCTGGCCCTGGACATTGATAGGGATGCTGAAGACCAGAACCAGTACCTGGATGGCATGGTAAGGGTCTAAGGTGTGGCCCTCCCACTCCCACCTGCTCTGAAGTCTGTGCTTGTGTGGGTGGTGGATTGGTCAAGGTGCCACCGTATGTGATCCTGCTGGGTCCTTCCCTCAGGACTCGGACTTCACCAGCGTGACTGGTCTGCTCACAGGGAGTGTGAAGCGCTTTTCCACGATGGCACGATCTGGGCGAGACAATCGGAAGCTTCTCTGTGGTATGGCCGTGGGCCTGATTGTGGCCTTCTTCATCCTCTCCTACCTCTTGTCAAGGGCAAGGACGTGAGCCAGTGGGAGCCACAGGAATCCAGGGTCTTCCTCACCTGGTATCTTGGGCTCCTGAGGACATGCTACAAAAATATTCCTTTACAGTGATCATCATGGGCCATGCATTTTCTTCCTATGTGGTGAGGGCCACCGTTGCCTCTGACCAGAGCACTCGTGGTTTGGAGAAACTAAGGCTCAGCCCTCCAATAGGTCAGAACAAGCTAGATTTGAGCCAAACAGCTGAGAATCCTGAATGTGCTCAGTGTGGCCAGCAGCTGTCCACCCAGCCCTCAGGGTTCTAATAGTTTAATGCTCTCCTGTCCTGTCCTGTCTGTGTCGGAATCTGAAGAGCCTGGGGCTGACAACAGAAAGAAGGGACTGTGTCTGTGAACCTCACACAAGCTGAGAGTCAAATAGGGCAATTTCTGGATGTGGCAATCTCCTCACTAGAGCTGCTGAGCAAGTATTTATCTGCATAGATCATGAGTCCCCGATTTTAAAGCCTGTGCCCTCTATCCTTGGATATAGCCAGACCCCTGCAAAGAGCAAGGCTGTGGGTACAGGAATGCACTGTGGGTTTGGGCTGGAATTGGTTGGGCCACAGGGGCATGTTTATGTCTAGGAACAGAGGACTCTACCTTCAGGACTTAGGCTTGGGTCCCCCATTGCCAAAACTTTTTCCCCAGGAGATGAAATGAAACACAGAGAAGGTTTCACCTGCCCTTTTAGACTCAGTGTGTGGGGTAGTCTTCCCTGTGAGGGTCCTCCTCGTAGGACCCTATTCCACCTGAGCGCGCAGCTGTACTGTTTGTAGCGGGAACTTTTGCCCCCTGCCCTGCCTCCCACAGCCTGTCCCCTCATTGTGGGAGAGCCCTCAGCCACACCCCTTGCTCCCTACCTCTACAGACTCCCCACCCAGGTGTCCCTGGCCCTTACTGCCTATTTGGCTAGTCCTGAGTTCATACAGACTGAACTTGTGAGAGGAGTCGTCTTCTTTCCTCCTCCTCCTTCTCCCCCTCCCCCAACTTTTTTGCTCAAGGCTAGCACTCTACCACTTGAGCCACAGCTCCACTTCCATCTTTTTTGGTGCTTAATTGGTTGGCTTTGAACCCTGATCCTCAGATCTCAACCTCCTGACTAGCCAGGATCACTTAATTGGTGGGCTGGCTTTGAATCCTGATCCGCAGATCTCAACCTCCTGACTAGCCAGGATCACAGGTGTGAGCCACCTGCTCCCAGCTTATAAAAGACCTCCTCAAGGAATGTATTGTGCAGTTGTGTACGCTTCTGTCCTGTGTTCCAGTCCCCCACCCTCAGCACTTGCTGGCTCACCACCTACTTTGTGACCACGCTGAGGCTTGCCATGCAGAACCACCTCCTCCAAGGTCCACGTGGCAGCCCTGCCCTGCTCTGGCCCGCAACCCCAGGATCCTCCCCTGCTCCCCCTGTCAGCAGCCCTCCTTCTCCTGCACATGCTCACCATAGTCACCTTTCCTCATCTTTGGCCCTTCTGTTGGGTCTGGAGAAGGAGGGTATGGCTCCAGCATCGCTTACTTCTTACTACCTCTCTCTGGCTTTGTTATTTCCCTGAAACCCTGGGCTGGTAAGGTTTGTGCCCCTTCCGTGGACATCTTAACACCCTCACCCTGGGGGTCTTTGTGTATTGAGTTTTGTCTTAGTCCTCTGCCTGTCACCAAACACTGGCAGCATCTGCCCGGCCACCTCCTCACTGGTCCCTGCCGTTAGACGCATCATGATTCAGCTGTACCTCCCTGTTTTTCTGGCAGGATACTGCTAACTTCCTGAGAACATGGCTAACCAGGGAGGAGTTCCTTGTGGAAATTTTGCCATCTCGTAGAACCTCTGTGGTTCTGTTCCCCTTGGGTATCCGTCTCTGTTCCTCGCCTTTCTGTCTCCACAGCTGTTGGTAGTGCTCTAGCAATTCTGTTCCGTATTCTGTGTGAGTCTTCTACTGTGTGACTCCTGTAAAGGGGACGGCAGTGCCAAAAACGTGGGCCTCCAGCTTGGTTCTGTGCACTTGGCACTGGACCCAGGAGCAAAGTGGGGTGCCAGTTTGGTTCTTGATGCCAGCAAATAAGAAAAGACCTCAAAGGCCAGTGTGAGAGGCCATGAGGACAAGTTGCCAGGCTGCATCCCATAGTTCAAGAACTTGTCAGCAATAAAAACTCAATAAACAGCTTTCTGAAGAAGGATTGACTTACCCTGTCTGATGTGTTGTGTGGGATGCCCACACAACTTTGGATGCATGGGGGTGTCGGGCAATTACATCACATCTTATTAGCAGTGGTCCAGAGTCAAGTGGGGGAGGGGAAAGGCCACAGTGTAGGCACCGCACAGGTGAGGCAGAGGTCGGGGCTCGCAAGCCTCCTGTGCAGACCCTGGAGCCCCGAGAAAGCTGGAAGGGGACCTCCTGTGTGTTGGCACCGACAGTCCATGGGGGGCTTCTAGGAAAACGTAGCCTTTCCCAAGACAAATCCTTAAGAATGGAATGTGTGGTTTATTTTTATAATTTGGACACAGCAGGAAACAAGATTAGCAAATGGGAATACAGTGTAGAAAAAATATTGTTAGAATTGTCCAAATAAGCATGCTGTGCTTTGCAGAGCCAGTCCAGCAGTGGCCCAGGTGGTAGAGGGTGCTTCCCGTCCAGGCCCAGCTGTCTTCCTGTGGGGACCTCTTGTGTGGAGCTTGCAGGGCAGGGCTATTCCACATCCACCACCAGGGGTGTCATATAATCAGAGTGCTTGATGCCAAAGGTGACGATGGGAGCGCAGGGCTTGGTCAGGGTTACCTGGGAGAGAGAAGCCGTGAGCTGGGGGGGCTGGGCTGCTGTCCCTCCAGAACCTGGGGCCAAGGTGGCCAGTGAAGAGCCTGCTTGGACTCTGAGCATGGAGCACTCAGCAGTGCTAACTCACAGCAGCTGGGGAAGGGTGGGGGCTCTGGTTCCCACACCTGAAGAGTTGCTTCGGGCCAGTACAGCAATGCACAGGGAAGCCATGAAGGCCTCCCCCTCCCCCACACCCAGAGTGTGTCCTGTCCTGACCCCCACCCAGCCTCTAGGCTTTGCTTCCTGGACCTTCTCAGGGCTGTGGGCTCCCGGTCCTGGCTTGAGAGTCTTGTCCCCTGGGGGCTCCACCCGGGCAGCCATGGTGTACTGTGGTGCCTTGAACTTGGTCAGTTGCACATCAGTCTGGCGGTACGCTGCAGGACCTGGGGTCTGGGAGGTGAAAGAGGACTCAGGTAAGCGTGTGTTGTCAGAGAACGGGGCAGGTTTGGTACCCTGCTGTCACCAGGGGTGCCTGGACCCACTGTGCCTATGAACACCTTTGTGGGATTCAGGCCTCAACTTCAGCATCACTAAGCAATCATCCCCATTGTGCTCCAGTCTAACACACACCCCTTCTGTCAGGCCCCTTTGCAGTGGGGACACTGTCCCTTTTTGGGTATGAGGACAATGACCTGAGTCTAGGGAAGCTAGAACCCTCCCCCCTAAGCACTCAGAGCTTACCTTCTTTCTGTATCACGCCTATCTAACACTGCTGTTTGCCCTCCAGCCATTACTCTGGGCTACAGCACAGCTCCCAAGCTGGTACCTGGCTCCCCCCCACCATGTGTTCAGGGGACCGGCCGGGGGTCTCAGCAGGTGGGCCCGGGGGCCCGGGAAGCCTTGCCTTGTGCAGGTCATCGCTGAAGCTGCCCAGTTTGCTGCGGCCCTTGATGGAGAAGGAGGGCTGGGAGACCTTGCCCACGGTGTGTGGGCCCATCACCACCGGGAGCATGTATGCAGCAGGGCCTGGGGAAAGAGGGGGGCCTGGAGTCCTTCTGGGGTTCTCTTCACTCCTCAGAGGCCCCACCGTGTGGTCTCTTGTACCCCTAGGGCCCACATGCTGGTCACCTAGCTGACAGTTGGAGCTGTGACAGACCTGGGGTGCTGTCCACGCGGAAGGTCTTGGTCCGTGCTGAGATGGAATGGCTGGGCGCCGAGTCAAACACATGCTTGGTAGATTTCTCTGGAAAGTAGTCACCTGAGGGGGAGGAGGTGCAGGGACAGCAAGCATGTGAGTGGCTCCGACCTTGAGTGAGGCCTCCAGGCCTCAGCATACTGGTGAGTGGGCTGATCAGAGCACTGAGGATGCAAACAATGACTCGAGGACTGCTTTCAAGCAGGGAGAACAGGGCTTGTGGCCCGGGCTCCTGCACTGCAGGTCAGACGGGACTGTGGGGTCTTGGGCTCTGCTGTTTTGGCTTAGTACTTGGGTCCACCCTGGACTTCCCATGCCATTCTTGTCAAGGAGCCTCAAGTGGGGTCACTCACCCGGCCCTGGAGTCAGCACAGTCTTGGTGTGGTAGCGCCCAAGGATGGAGTAGGTGGGGCCGATGTCCTTGCCGGTCCTCAGTATTTTGGGGTTTACACTGTAGCGGGGCCCTGGGGAGCAGTTCTCGGCCAGGAGCATGGGGGCTCCACGGAAGCTGTAGGCCGGCGCCCGCAGCTTGGTGGGCGTGTGCTTGACGAAGCCTGTGAGCACAGTCTCTGAGCGGCTGGAGCCAGACATCCCTTCTCCCCAAGCTCCAGACCCACCCATACCTCATACCTGGCTTCTGGCTCCTCCCACCCCGCCATCCCTAGGCTCTTACCCGTAGTGGGTGGAATCAGGTACTTGGGTCCAGGGCTGCTGTAGAGGGCCATGATGGGTCCCCGGGGGCGATGGGGCCTCCAAGTGCCCACCCATATCTCTTCCGCCATGGCTGGCTCTGTCCATGGATAAAAGGGTGACCAGGTGCTGGGAGGCCCTGGCCCATCTCATCCTGGCCCCCACATTCCTGTCCCTGGTCCTGCTGACGCATGGGCAGAGCTGCAGGCTGCAGTTGCCATGGGGTCTCAAGCAATTAGGGGCTGTGTGCGTTTTCCAAGCCCTCCCTAGCCTCCAGCACTGTCCCCGAGATGCCGCCCACCCCCTGGATCTAAGGAGGTCTTGGGCCCTAAGGGTGAGGTCCCATCTACTTGGAGAACCCTAGGCATGACCAGCAGGGAGCTGGTAGGGAGAATGGGAGCTGCTTGGCTGGGTGCCTTTGGGAAGGGGGCCGGTCCGCAGGCCTCACCTCTGTGCAAGAGCAGGCTCAGGGCAGCCTGGGACCCAGCCTCCACGCAGGTGGGCTCCTCCCCCTGGCGTCAGTGCCAGGCGGTTCCCAAAAGCAGAGCATGAAAGAAAGGCCTCCCTCTCACCCCAGGGGCTTGGAGAATTGGGAGGGGTCCCTCCTCTGAGCTCTAGAATGTGGCTGTGTAGGACTGGGGGGTTCTAGAGCACAGTGTGTGATGGGGACAATGCCCTCTGTCCAGGCCCCCTCAAGCTCTCCTCTCCAGGGACCTCCGCTGAAGGTACCCCACCGTTTCCAGGCCTCTTCCTGTCTGGGAACCCTCACCTTCTCCAGTACCCCATCTTCTCTAGGGACCCCTACCTTCTACCAGGGACCCCTATTTTCTCCAGGGACTCCTATCTTCTCCAGACCTCACTCCCTCCAGATTCCTACCCTCTCTGTGCTTGGCTGGGATGAAGGTGCACAGGGGAGGAACAAGGCAGAGAGTTCCCAGGGCCCGGAGCCCGGGGTGGGCAGGGAGTGAATGTAATGATCCCATTCAGCCATGTTCCCATTCGAATTTGGAGATAACAGATATGGGGAGTCTGTCTGCTGGTCATTCTAGTGGCTTAGGGTCTGAGTGGGTGTGGGAGGCACGAGTCAGCAGTGGGGGGGCTTTCTTCCTGCTGACCATCCGCAGACCTTGCTGGCTCTCAGCACCCCACCAGTGAAGCCAACCCCTCACCTCAGATTTTGAGAGTCTCCCGGAGCATGTGGACTTTGTTCTTGATGTTATTAGGGATCCTCTTGGGACTCAGCCTCAGGTTAGGGTCTCTTTCCTTGGGTGACTCTTAGGGATTGTTCTTAAAGCCCTCAACACCTGGGTATCTGCTGCCCGTACTGTCACATGAACTTGTCATGCATGGCTATGGTACAGAATCATCAGCTTTCACAGGCAGCCCCTCAGCACGGATGGGGGTCTTCCCTACTGCCCTGACCACTTCCTTGTCTGAGCCCCAGCTCAGGCAGCTCTCAGTATGGATGGGGGGTCTTCCCTACTGCCCTGACCACATGGCTATGGTACAGAATCATCAGCTTTCACAGGCAGCCCCTCAGCACAGATGGGGGTCTTCCCTACTGCGCTGACCACTTTCTTGTCTGAGCCCCAGCTCTTGCCCTGGCCTTAGGACTGCAAGTCTTCTCCCTCCCCCTTCCTTGATGCCCCTCTGTGTCCACATGGCTGCCTGTTTATCTTCTGTGCTGCATCCCTGCCTACCCTGTGTCTGCTGGGTCCAATCTACCATTAAGTGTGCCCATCCTCCTACATTCTGCTCCTTGGTGAAAGGAGTGTGTCCTTGAGTGTGTTCTTACATGTCCCTTTGTTTGGGAGAGACAGGAGCCAGGGCCCAGGCTGCAGGAGGCTTTATTGATTCATGTTGAAAGATGAGTTTGCTTGTGGGTAAACAGCAGTGGGGCAGTGTGTCCATGGCTGCTTGCATGGCTGGTCCTGTGCCTATTGGGAACCATGTTGCGATCCACTTAGACCCCATCCTGACTGCCAAGCACTTGAACCTGGAAGGCAGATACATGTGAACCAGAAGAGTTAGTGAGTAGTTGCCAGAAAGCTGCAGCGCCAGGAAGCAGACAGCCCTGGGCCATCTCAGGGGTATGTGGGAGAAGACAGGTCCTGCCACCCTGCAGTCCAGCCACTTCTAGTATCTGGGAGGTTGGCATACACATGCTGCATCAGTGCATTGAGTGTGTGCATGTGTGTGCACATGTCTGCTTTACATAGTTCCTGAATTGGGGGATCAGAGCCAAGAGGCTAGAGTTTTCTGCGTAGGTAGAGAGGTCTGGGGTATCCACTTGGCTGGCTGGAGTAGGTCGGAGGGCTGCAGTGGGCTCTGGGGTTCTACCTAGGGACAGCGCTCGAGGGGAGGGTTCAGGCGCAGAGGGAGGGAGAGCCCAGGTCCCAGTACCAGAAGCTTGACGAGTTCCGCCTTATGCATGGGCTGCAGGCCATCAATGCAGGACTTGAGCTCTGTCAATGCTTCCTTGGCATCCTCATTGACGTTGTACTTGCCCAAGGGCCCCTCATAGAGCTCCTCTGGGGTTCCCACCAGCAGGGTTTGCAGGAAGTCCATGAAAAACTCATTGTCGTCTTCTCCTGTGGCCAACCCTGCATTGCAAGGGGAGATGACACCAGGACAGGGCTACCCAAGCCTTCCCCCAAACCTCCCTGGAAGACACAGCACCTCATCTCTGCAGACCCCTCCACCGTCACTCTAGTCCCAGATGTTCTGGCTTCCACTAGTCCTTTCCCTAGTCTCACTGGGAAAGAAAAGTGAAGCCCTAACACAGCATCATTTCCTCCTGGTGTGGAGCTGAAATAAGCTCCGTGGATGAGCCACGGTAGGTGGCACTGGATGGGTCAACAGAATCAGTGTGCGTTCCGTTTGCCATCCTCCCTCTTCTTCAGTCCCACTACCTCAGCTGAACACGCACTGTTCTACAGCCTGTCGCACGCACTGTCGGCTACAGACCCTCCACTGGTGCCAGCAGTGCTGGGCACTGGAGAGTCTCTGCTGCCTGTGTATACAAAGACACACTCATTTCAGCTTCCTAGCGCCCCTTTCCCCCATCCTGGATATGCTAAAAACACAGCCTAAACTCACCTAAGATGCAGAGGAGGCCCAGGGCCACCAGCAGGACAGCACCACTCCTCTTCATGGCTAGTCTCAGGAGCTATTTAGCGGAACCTGGGCTTTTATGTATTAGCTAGCGGCAGCTCCCCCAGGGGCTGGGCTCCACCTGTCCATCAAGACCTGTCAGGCAAGCTGGGCAGGCGTGTCTAGGCTTTTGGCAAACGAGGTGAGTGGAGTTAATGGAATCAGGATAAACTTAGGGAAGGGAGCTTCTGGACCAGGACCAAAGTCTCAGCAGCCCTGAGGCTATAGTGAGGGTTTTGTGGTGGACCTTTCACTGCTTTGTATGGCTCTGGGTGGCAAAGGTCAGGGGTGGGGCCTTCCCACTAGGATGGAGAATGGCCTGGGCATGTGATTGGGAGGGACAGGACTTCTTTTTTTTTTTTTTTTGGTGGGTCGTGGGACTTGAACTCTGGGCCTGGGCGCTGTCCCTCAGCTCTTCAGCTCAAGGCGAACGCTCTACCACTTGAGCTACAGCGCCACTTCCAAGGGACAGGACTTCTTAGAGTGAGGACCCAGGGCCATAGGAGCCTGAAGCGGACGACAGCATCCAGAGAGGGCCAGAGGGGCTCTGAGGGGCACGGCATGGGGCCCAGTCACATCAGCAGGGACTTCAGTCTGGTTCTGATAACATGCATAGCTTGCATGGTGGCCTAGCTCTTCTCCTCCTGTCCTATGCTGCCCTCTGGTGGCTGACGGCTCCTTGGGCGGCTAGTCCTTTCTCCAACAGAAGTGCTTGTTTCCACAGGGCCCAGTCCCTGGATACCTTTCCTTCCACACTGGGTTCCACACACTTCTACTGTTTGTGAACCCACCATGTCCACATCCTCATTGGGGCCTGCTCCGCATGGCTCTTGGCATTCCTCCACTCACTTGCCTCTAGCTGGCCCTGAGTGTCTCTTGGCCAGACACAGCCCCCTGGCTCAGGTGTCCCTCTAGTCCTGTCCTTGAAGCCAGTGTCACTTAGACTCTTGCTTTGATGAATCTTCTCTAACCACCTTTGCTAGCATAAAATTAATTCCACGGACAAATTTATGCAGAATTCAAAAAAGGAAAGGAAGAAGATACGTGTAATGAAGTTATCTATAGCAAAGTACTGTGGGTGAGGCGTGGTCCTGGCGGAGCTGGCCTGCCTGCCTTGCAGTGGAGCCTGTCTTGCTAGGTCCCCCCAGGCTGGGCCCAGGCCTCTGTGCTTCTGAAGCTTTCCGATGTATGGGGTTGGCTCTACTGTCCGACAACTACACTTTCCATTGCCCTTTACGGGTTGCCCTTTGGCATCCCTTTGTGATATACAGTTTGCCATTCTCCCTCTTCTTCAATCCCACTACCTCAGCTAAACATACTTTGTTCTATAGCCTGGCCCACGCACTGTCAGCTACAGAATCTCTACTGGTGTCTCAGCAGTGCTGAGCATTGGAGAGTCTCTCTGCTGCCTGGGTCTCTCTCCTGGTGACATTCTTGTCACATAGCCAAAGAGTCTCATGCTGTGAACTCTCACCCCCAATACTTGCCTTCCTGTGACCTTGTCCTGAGCAATGCTTGCTTGATTGAGCTGTTTGGAGTCACTCTTCCTTGACTTGTTACTTCTGGCTGCTCAAGTTTGTTGGACCACCATTAAAATCAGTTTGTACCTTCCACCTCTGTGCCCCTTATTCTTCTGAAGACATACGCCCCAAGCCCCAAACCAAAAACAAACAAAAGACCTTAAGGACAATGCTAGATGAATCTGTCCCTATGGAATTTGACCAGAATGGTCCTGAAGTACCTTTGCAAATTTCCATGACAGTTTGTTCTCACACCTTGGTAGGCAGGAGGTTTGTTGAAATAAATCACAGGTAAATGTATTACTTTGTACTGCCTGGAGCTAAGGTTAAGGTTAGAGTTTAGGGGCGGGGATTAGGTAAGGGGTTTATGTTATGAGTTGGGGCTGGGTTAGGGGTTAGAGTTGAGTATGGTGATTAGGAATTTTGGTTCAGGCTTATTTTAGAAAAAGAAGAACCAGCAGGGCACTGGTGGCTCATGCCTGTAATCCTAGCTACTCAGGAGGCTGAGATCTGAGGATCACGGTTCAAAGCCAGCCCAGGCAGGAAAGTCCATGACTCTGATCTCCAACAAACCACTCAGAAAACTGAAAGTGATACAGTGGCTCAAGTGGTAGAGTGCTCGCCTTGAGCTGAAGAGCTGAGGGACAGTGTTCAGGCCCAGAGTTCAAGCACCATGACTGACAAAAAACAAAAAAAGAAAGTAAAAGAATAAGAAGAACCAGTGGGATAGTAGGGATGGTAAGAAAGCTGGGTAGATGGGTCAGAGCTCCTGGACCGGGAAACCCTTGTGGAGACGGGGCTTTGGCCCAGGTCAGTCAGGAGCCTTCTGAGATTTGGGAAGAGAATTTGCTCTCAACAGGCCCACTGAGGGCAGGTTGGTTTGTCCCAGAGGCAGATCCTCCCAGGAAGGTCTTCTATCCACTCTGTTGCTTGTGCCATACTTGTGGCAAAGAGACACACATGGAGAAGCAGGCTTGAGACCGTGTGTGTGTGTCTGTGTGTGTGTGTGTGTGTGTGTGTGTGTGTGTGTGTGTGTGTGTGTGTGTGTGTGTTGGTCTTGGTCCTGGGGCCTATGTGTGTTGGTCACGGGGCTTGAGCTCAGGGCCTGGGCACTGTCTCTGACCTCTTTTGCTCAAGGCTAGTGTTTTACCACTTTGAGCCACAGCACCACTTCTAGTTTTCAGGTGGCTAATTAGACATAAGAGTCTCATGGATTGTATTGCCTGGGTTGGCTTTGAACTGCAATCCTCAGATCTTAGCCTCCTGGTTAGCTAGTAGTACAAGCATGAGCCACCAGCATCTGGCTTTTAATTTTTACTTTTTAAAATTGTTATCATAAAGATGATATACAAGGGGTTACAGTTAAATACAGTAGGTAAAGACAATTGGACAATGTCACCTTGTATAGTTCATTTTCAACTTAGTTTCTAGTAAGCACCACTGCAGCATTTGTTCACCACTTATCCCTCCATTTCTGTATCTCTCTTGCTATCCCAAAGAGAGATAAATGAACAAACAAGATGAAAAGGAAACAAAAACAACAACAAAAATAAACCTTTATGGGGCTGGGAATGTAGCTTGGTGGTAGAGTGCTTACCTAGCACACATCAAGGCCTGGGTTTGGTTCCTCAGTACCACATCCACAGAAAACCAGAAGTGGTGCTGTGGCTGAAGTGGTAGAGTGCTAACCTTGAGTCAACCCTGAGTTCAAGCCCCAGGACTGGAGGAAAAAAAAGAAGAAAAAAAACCCCTCGTTTCCATTTTCTGGAGTTCATTTTAATAAATATTTTATATGATCAGAAGCAAATGGTGCTCCTTCCCTAAGAGCGTCCTCCTCTGGTCTCACTGTGTGTGAGAATCTAGGGTCCTATATATAATGTTCCAGAGTATTTAGATCTAGCTTCCACATATGAGAGAAAACATGTGCTGTTTGCCTCACTTAATATGATTTGTTCTCTAGGTCCATCCATTTCCCTGCAAATGACATAACCTTAGTCTTTCTAATGGCTGGGTAAAATTCCACTGTGTATAGGTACCACACTTTTTGGGTCTACTCACCTAGTATAGGGCATCTAGGCTGTTTCCATAACCTGGCTTTGTGAATAGTGCAGTAGTGAACTTGTACACTTGGATGTACAGTTGACATTTGTAATGGGATTCGTCAGCGCAAAGCTTATTAGAACATAAATGCCATCTGTTTTCCAGGTACTCTAGGCTCCAAGGACTTTGTGTTAAGTCAGTTATCTCTGTTTAAAACACTCCAGCACTGTTTGTTCCATTATCCTGACCTGAGGCTTAGGTATTAAGCATAGTTATTTGTGGTTCCTAAGCAATGCCTGGGGAGCATGCATTGGGCAGTGGCTGGTGCAGGGTTCAGGGAAATTGCAAAAGCCTGTCAGCAACTCACTGAGCTGTTCTGGGAGTACTAAGCACTGGGGAGTAGAGGGTTCAGGGTGGCTGCAAAATCCTGTTGGTTTCTCACTGAACTGTTCTGGAAAGATCCAGGCTTGGGGGAATGCAGGCAGGCTGAGAGTGATTACAAAGGCTTGTCAGCTGTATCTTGAGTTTAGTGACATCAGGGAACGTTGGAAGATTCAAGTTAAGAGACACCTACTCTGCCTCAGATGAGGACTGCAGGGGTGGAGGAAATAGGTAGGCCCATGTGGGGTAGGAAGAGCGAGGGCTCCAGAGCTATCAAGAGGTCAACAGGCAGGACTTGAGGGGGCTGGGAGGACCAAGGTTAAATTCCCATGCTTGCCACAGGGTGTTTACTTACCGAAAAGTCGGAGCTCAGTGGGCGATGCCTGGGAAACCCATGTACAGCCGGGGATCTGGGACTGAGCCTCATCTCTGGTGCTCACTGCTGCGCCCCTCTCAGGGAAGGGCTGGTCTGTAAAGGAGGTCAGGACTGAGGTCTTATAGTTGGAAAGCAGAGGGGGACTTGTCCACCTAGGAAAGGGCAAGCTGGCTGTCAGAGCTGGACAAGATCCTGTGCCACTAAGAAAAATCCATAATCAAGAAAGGAAACCTTAGCCAGGTGCTGGTGGCTCATGCCTGTCATCCTAGCTACTCAGGAGGCTGAGATCTGAGGATCACGATCCAAGACAGGCAAGAAAGTCTGTGAGACTCTTACCTCCAATAAACCACTCAGAAAACCAGAAGTGGAGCTGTGGCTCAAGTGGTAGAGCACTAGCCTTGAAGAGCTGAGGGACAGTGCCCAGGCCCAGAGTTCAAGCCCCACAACTCACAGAGAGAGGGGGGGGGTCGGGAAACCTTTTCCTGCTGACACATCTGTAGAAGAATAATGGGTTGAACCAGTCCCTTATTGTCTGGTGATCTCTGCATTTCTCTGTATTTCTAAGCGAGCCCCTAGACCACATCTACCCCATCTGCCTCATCCCGAAGATGTCTCAAACTCACTCCCACCTCTCTCCTTGGGACATTCTTGAGTTCAAGACTACCACTACCAACGGCCTACCAGCTGACCTACAGGGTAAAAGGAGGCGAGTGCCTGTCTCCTTCCTCAGCTGTGCCCTCGCATGGGGCCTGCAGCCTGTGCACAGCCTAACTAGTGACGGTGTCCAGGGACACCGTCTGTGCTTGTTCTTTTTTCTGGCTACATACCTGTTTTATGAGGCGGGTGTGACTTTCCTCCTGCGAAGGGGCAGTCACAGCCCACACCCAGGCTGCCCAGGCGCAGCCCCAGGCCTGGCCCGTGGCGGGCGCTGGCTCTAGGCCTCCTGCTGCGTCGGGTCAGCCTCTCCGCCCAGGCTGCCCTGGGCCCAGGCTGCCCTGGCGCAGGCCCGGGCCTGGCCCGTGGCGGGTGCTGGCTCTAGGTCTCCTGCTGCGTCGGGTCAGCCTCTCTGCCCAGGCTGCCCTGGTGCAGGCCCGGGCCTGGCCCGTGGTGGGCCCTGGCTCTAGGCCTCCTGCTGCGTCGGGTCAGCCTCTCCGCCCAGGCTGCCCTGGCGCAGGCCCGGGCCTGGCCCGTGGTGGGCCCTGGCTCTAGGCCTCCTGCTGCGTCGGGTCAGCCTCTCCGCCCAGGCTGCCCAGGCGCAGGCCCGGGCCTGGCCCGTGGTGGGCCCTGGCTCTAGGCCTCCTGCTGCGTCGGGTCAGCCTCTCCGCCCAGGCTGCCCAGGCGCAGGCCCGGGCCTGGCCCGTGGCGGGTGCTGGCTCTAGGTCTCCTGCTGCGTCGGGTCAGCCTCTCCGCCCAGGCTGCCCAGGCGCAGGCCCGGGCCTGGCCCGTGGTGGGCCCTGGCTCTAGGCCTCCTGCTGTTGCGTCGGTCGGCCTCTCCCGACCCCCACGCCCGCCTGGGGCACTCGGAGGCCTTTTTCTCTCCGGAGTTATTTTCTCTCTGCTCCTCTCAGGAATGTGATGGAGGCTGACCCCCTTTCTGTGCTGAAAATGCCTGTCAGCAAAGCCTGCAACTCTAGGGTCGGGAATGGGACTCTGCTAGAAATGCCTGGATTCTGCACTGTCTGGGAGCCGCCCCTGGCCTCCCGCGGCCGGTCCGGCCCCGCGCCCCCCGCCCCCCCACTACCTCCCCCCCTCCCCCCCTCCCGCGGCCGGTCCGGCCCCGGGCCGCCCTCCCCCACTACTGAGGGCGGTGGTGCCAGGGAGGGCCGTGCCGGGGAGGCCGGGGAGGCCGGGGAGGCCGGGGAGGCCGGGGAGGCCGGGGAGGCCGGGGAGGCCGGGGAGGCCGGGGAGGCCGGGGCCCGCTGGGGCCGTCCGCCCCTCCTCGCCCACCGCTGCCCTCGCCGGGCCGAGCGTTTCCGGTGCCCGCGGCTGGCGTGACGGGATGGCACCCCGCCTTTATCGACCTCCCCGCGGCCCCCGGCCGCGCGGCCTCCTCGTCCCGCCGGGCGGCTCGCGGAGGGGCGAGGCGGGCTCCGGAGGGCTCCGGAGGGCCACGCGTGGGAGAGGCGGCCGCGCTTCCGCTCCCGCAGGAGGGCGCTGGCTGCCTGAGGGTCGCTCCCCTCCTCCTCCCCCCTCCCCCTCCCCCTCCCCTCCTCCCCCTCCCCCTTCCCCTGTCCTCCTCCCCCTTCCCCTGTCCTCCTCCCCTGCCCCTCTCTCCCCCTCCCCCTCTCCCCCCCCCCCCCGTCTCTTCCCGGGGCTCGAACCCTCGCCTGGGCACTGCCCGAGCTGCTCTGCTCCCGGCCAGCGCTCTGCCCCGTGGCCGCAGGGCGGCTTCCCGCGTTTTTGAGTGTTTCTCGGCCGCCCTCAGCGGTCGGCGCCCCGCGGCCAGGGCCGTGCGCAGAGGCCCGCAGGACGCGGCGTCCGGGAGCTCGTGTTCCGCCGTGGCTGTGAGCGCCGCGTGCGTGCCAGGCCTGCGCGCTTCCCTCCGCGCCGGCCTCGAACCCGCGGCCGCCGTCGCCGCCGCCTGCGTGGCCGGGTCAGGCCTGCGCGCTTCCCTCCGCGCCGGCCTCGAACCCGCGGCCGCCGTCGCCGGGGTGACAGGTGGGAGTCACCCGTATCTTTTTTACCAAGGTTTTAAAATTGAAATGGAAGGATTTGGAGCGTCAAATGGATCCTTTCTAGGACCAGCCCCGGAGAGGTTTACAGAAGCACAACGGGTGAATGACCACGGGCCTACCCGAGCTGCGGCCTCCTGGCCCGGGTCGGCCCCGCGCGGTGAAGGCCGCGGCCCTCTAGGCCGGGATAAACCTTCCACCTGTGGCACGCCTGAGACATGGCATGGCCGCGGCCGCCTCTGCCATCCTGCCGAGGCCGGCGTCTGTGAGTTGGGAAGTTTATAATGTTTTCTCAGAGTTCTTCCTCCATTGTTGATTTCCTTTGTATATCCCTGTCACCATTGATGAAGGTCACCATAGCATCTGGGAAATCCTCCAAGCAATAAACTGTGATGAGACTCATGCACAGGATGAATCCGAAGCCGGGTTTTCAGACCAGTTTGTAAGTTAGGGCTAGCCCTGTACCTCAAAGCCAAATAAGATACAGCATGGAGCAGAGAAAGGAGATTTACCACATGGGTAGGCATCCCATGGGAAGACAGCAACTCAGTTCACCTTCAGCCGTCTTCAGGGTACAGACATGTGCTGTAAATGTAAATAGCTGGTGGCAGAGGGCTAGAGGTATGTCAGAGTATCGTCTACCGGTCATCACTTCTGTACTAGTGTAGGGAAGGGTTCGGAGACGTCAGTCATCACTGAGAAGGCTCCAGTGTTCTCTTTCTTTGAGACCCTTTCCTTCACCTTCCTTACACATATAAAATGAAGGCACAGATGCCAAGCTTTTCTTCTGCTTTTAGTTAATTCATGGTCCCAAGTAAGGAGTTCAATACTTTTTAGCAAAAGCAACTTGCAAGCACCCATTACCTTGTCAGTTGGTTGGGCTTAATTTTGTTTAATAGTTTATGTGTAACTGCATTTTGGCCATTACAGAAGTAGGATGGTAGGTCGCTCAGCATACATTTTCTAAATGTATGGGAAAGGAAGGGAAAGAGATGGGAAGGAAGAGGAAGTATGGTTAGAATAGCTAGTTAAAAGAGAAAAATGGAATAGACTATTGAAATAAGTGATTACTTTTGGAATTAAAAACATGTTAAGAACATTTTATTCAACACAAAGAGAACTTTTTGAATTTCACATAAAATTTCTCTAAGATAGCATCTGTGCTCTTCTATAATAGTATACATTTGAAAATTATTAGCAGATTTGGGAAATCAAAATAAGTGGAACTAATAATAAAATTACAAGATTCAAAAAAGAAATCAGAAGGGAAATTAAAATACAATGAGGTGATTGAAAATGAAAACACTATATATGAAGTATTTTGGAAGACCCTCCTTAGAGGAAAACTTGTAGCAGTAAACTTCTTCACCAGTATGCTGGGGGGGTATATAATGGAGCACTCAAAATTTACTTATTTGAAAGGATTTTATTTTATTTTATTCTATTTTTTATTTATTTTCTGTGCTTGTCCTGGGGTTTGAACTAAGGGCCGGGTGACATCCCTGAGCTTTTTTGCTGAAGGCTAACACTCTACCACTTGAGCCACAACCCTACTTCTGGCTTTTTGGTGGTTAATTGGAGATAAGCATCTCAAACTCTCCTGCCTGGGCTGGCTTTGAATTGTGATTGTCAGATCTCAGCCTCCTGAATAGCTAGGATTACTGGTATGAGCCACCAGCACCTGGCCTTAATTTGTTCTTGACTATAAGCCTTTGGGGCTGGGACAGCACAATACCTATGCTGGTGTTGAACAGGCCCCACCTGAAGCTGTGGTCACCTGTGTCTTAATAGGCTGGCTCCTTCAAGAGGACTGCTCACATGTTTCATGGTTTGTGTTTGCTCTTGGCTAAGGCCAGATGTAGGATATATCCCACAAAACAGCCCTAGGGTTTTTATCAGGTAAAAGTGTTTCCAAGAAGGCAAAACACAGGGCAAATACTTAGGCCAAACTTTTCAAATTTTTTTTGATTCCCTGTTGGCCAAAGTGAGTTAAATGACAAAGCACAGGGTCACTTCAGAAGGGAGCTGCATGTAGCAAGGATATAGGGATGTTTGTTGGGAACCATTCCTAGGAAAGTTACTTATGATAGTCTCATCTGCGAAACATGCATAGTTTATCTTGTATAGTGTAAGTGCAGCACTTAAAATGTATGTTCTTGATGCTTTAATGTTTCTTTTCTTTTTCTTTCTTTTTTTTTTTTTTGTCGGCTGTGGGGCCTGAACTCAGGACCTAAGCGCTGTCCCTCAGCTCTTCAGCTCAAGGCTAGTGCTCTACTACTTGAGCCACAGCGCCACTTCCGGCTTTTTCTGCTTATGTGGTGCTGAGGAATCAAACCCAGGGCCTCATGCATGCAAGGCAAGCGCTCTACCACTGAGCCACCTTCCCAGCCCCTGTAATGTTTCTTTTATATTTGGTGCAAGTGTGTTACTACACTTTTCTTGAGAATTTCATGTCATCTTTTCTCAGAGTGAGATAATGCAGTAAAAAAATCACTGTTAAAGAGAATCGTGTTGAATTATTAAAGCCATTTGCCTCTGTCAGCAACAGTTCTCTCGTTTCATTTTGGATCAGATTAAGAACTCTTGTCAATAAGTATACAATCAATATACTATATAGTTACTCATATTTTTATTGCTATTTCAGGAACTGTTGACTTTCATGGATGTGGCCGTTGATTTCTCTCAAGAGAAGTAGGGCTCCTTTGGACCCTGTCCAGCAGACTTTATATAGGGATGTTAGGAAACTACGGAACTCTCAACTCCTTAGGTGAGGACAACTTCCCTATAGAATTGTTTATTTACTACCAATTTTTCTTTTCCTGTAAGGAATATCTCTTGGAAATTTCATGAGTGAGTTTCAGATTCCTGCTTTTAAGGGGGAAAAATAGGTGTTTATATAGTCAAGAAAGATTCAAGGCTGAGGATGTGGCTTAGTGGTAGAGCACTTGGCTAGCATGCATAAAGCCCTAGTTTCCATTCCTCAGTACTACATAAACAGAAAAAGCTGGAAGCGGTGCTGTGACTCAAGTGGTAGAGTGTTAGCTGTGAGTAAAAGAAGCTCGGAGACAGTGCCCAGGCCTTGAGACCCAGGACTGGCAAACAAACAAACAAAGAAGAAAAAAAAGATTCAAGATACTCTTATCTTTAATCATCACCTTTCTTGGGTGGTACTTATGGAAATTCAGTGGAATAAAATATTGTGGCCTACATGTTAAATTCCTTCCCTTTATCTTTGATCTGAAAAGGCTTCCTGAGTATTCTTATGGGTCTGTTAGGAAACAGCATTTGAAGAAATTATTTTCTAGATTCTTATTTATAATCTCTCTACTGAGGATAGTAATGGGGTAGGAATCACTTTGAGAATCCCAGGCAAAAATTGCATCCTATTTTCCAATAAACAGGTCTTGTAGTCTCTAAGCCACACCTTGTTACCTTTCAGGAACAAAGGGAAAATCCTTGGAATGGGAAGAGAAAAGAGAAGCTATCCACATACATATATGTAAGTAGGAATGAAGGAGGTGGAAGTTGAGGAAGAAGGCAGCTTTAAAGTATGGATTGAGTCTTTAGCCCACTTATTTATTGGGCAGTTGTTTCTTTGAGGATTTGTTGTTGGGAGACTTAAAGAGAAACTTCTCTGAAGAGGAAAGAAGGATGGCCAATAGACACATGAAGAAATGCTCAACCTCCCTTTGCATAAAAGACATGCAAATCAAAACAACATTGATATACCACCTCACCCCAGTTAGAATGACTATAATCAAGAATTCTAATACTAACAGATGCTGGGGGGGATGTGGCCAGAAGGGAACCCTACTGCATTGTTGGTGGGAGTGTAAGCCTGTTCAACCACTTTGGAAAGCAGTATGGAGGTTACTCAAAAGACTCCACATAGAGCTCCCCTATGACCCAGCAATCCCACTTTTGGGCATTTACTTAAACGATCATAAACAAGACCATACTAAAGCTACCAGCACAACTATGTTTTTTGCAGCATTATTTACCATAGCTAAGATATGGAACCAACCCAGGTGCCCCTCAGTAGATGAATGGATCAAGAAAATATGGTATATATACACAATGGAATTCTATGCCTCCATCAGAAAGAATGACATTGCCCCATTTGTTAGGAAATGGAAAGACTTGGAAAAAATTATATTAAGTGAAGTAAGCCAGGCCCAAAGAAACATAGGTCCCATGGTTTCTCTTATTTTCAAAAACTAGTATATGTCTGAGACAAGCAGAAATGGTCAGATAAGTTGATGTTAGGCGAAATGAACCCCAACATAGGACTTAAATGGTTAAATGGTTTTTCTTTCTTGCTGTTGTATCTAACATACTTATAACATGATTTCTTTGTTGCTTTGTATGTCCCTTCCCAAAGGTACAACCCTGTTTTCACTGTATTTGATGTTGTTATAATTTCTGGAGGGGAAGGGAAAAAACAAATCGTTTAACTAGGGATACAGGTGGACCTATTGCAACAATGAGATGTACAAGATGTTATGTCGAAAAACGAACTTTACAACTTTGGTGGGGGGGGAGGAGAGGGAGCAGGAGGGTTGGGAAAGGATGGTAAGGGGAAACAAAGGAGGCAACAATGCTTGATAAGAAATGAACTCATTACCCTGCTCATGTAATTGTAACCCCTCTGTACACATACACACAAAAAAGTATGGATTGAGAGGCATTGTTCCAATGGAAGTGATTTTTGAAGCCTAGATTATTTTTCTTTCTGTCACAAAAAGGTATTTCTGTCCTATTTCCTTTAAGTTTCGCCAAAAGGAGTTTGAGGTGGGGTCCCTTCAGCAGTTTGGGTCTATGGAGGGGGTCAGGAGGTGAACTGACCCTTGGAAAGAGAAAGGAGTGAGTCCAGTGACTCCTGACATTATCTTCTCCAAGTTTCCGCACCACTATGTAAGGTTCTCCAAAAGGAGACTGCCATGGTTGTTCAGGCCAAAAAGTTTAGGGTAACCAAACTACAGGCCCACACAGATGGAAGTGTGTAGAGACTGACTGATGGCAGAACTGAGGTTATGTAGGGAGAGGGCAGGAGGAGGCTGATGGGCCAGGTGAGGACTTGACCTCAGAGGAAGAGGAAGTGACCTCAGAGCCTGGGGGACCTCCTGCTGCTCCCAGGTCCATTACCTGGGACACTGAGTGGGAACTTCTAGGGAAGAGGTTTCATGCACACAGAGGGAAAACAGGGAAGAGGTCATTTTCCTGGGCAGATGGAACATTTCCATGCCTTTAAAACCTCTTAAGTCTTCCCTACAGTGATCTCCCAGTACTTTCACAATGGCTGCCAAAGTCATTCCCTTTTCCTGTCAGGCCCGATGATCTGATAGATCTTCCATTGCTTTTGTGTACCTTAGAGAATAGGTGTATTTCTAAATATCTCAGTATTAAACCACTGTCCTATATTAATGACATCAAAATTAGTTTCTCTAATGTCATTTACATAGTTTTTTCAACTATTTTTATTAGAATACATAGAACAAGGGAGGTTCATAGAGAAACGTCTACCAGTGTTTTTTCATGTACTTCTGTGTGTGTGTGTGTGTGTGAGTGTATGTGTGTGTGTGTGTGTGTGTGTGTGCACATGCGCCCACACAGATACTGAAGCTTGAACTCAGCCTGGCACTGGCCCTTAACTTTTTTTTTCCTTTCAAGGCTAATATTCTACTATTTGAGCCTGACTTTTTTGATAGTTAATAGGAAATAAGAGTTTCATGGACTTTCCTGCTTGGGCTGGCTTTGAAACTCTATCCTCAAATCCGACCTCCTGAATAGGAAGGATTATAGGTGTGAGTCACTAGTTCCCAGCTGTTTTATTGTTTTTCTTATTTTTTTTTTTTTTTTGTCGGTCGTGGGGCTTGAACTCTGGGCCTGGGCACTGTCCCTCAGCTCTTCAGCTCAAGGCGAGCGCTCTACCACTTGAGCTACAGCGCCACTTCCGGTTTTCTGGTGGTTTATTGGAGATAGGAGTCTCACGGTCTCTCCTGCCGGGGCTGGCTTTGAACCGCGATTCTCAGATCTCAGCCCCCTGAGTAGCTAGGATTACAGGCGTGAGCCACCAGCGCCCGGCCCTGTTTTTCTTATTTTTGCTTTAATTTGTGTATCACTGATTTTTATAGTTAACATGTTTTGTGTATAACCTAGTTGGAGATAATGGAGTCTCTTAAATTTTGATAGCTATTTCTTACTCAATTTTATAATTTCTCAGTCATTATTATTATTATTATTCTTTTTTGTGGGTCATGGGGCCTGAACTCTGGGCCTGGGCTCTGTCTCTCAGCTCCTCAGCTCAAGGTGAGTGCTCTACCACCTGAGCCACAGCACCACTTCCAGCTTTTTCTGCTTATGTGGTACTGAGGAATCGAACCCAGGGCCTCATGCATGCAAGGCAAGCGCTCTACCACTGAGCCACCTTCCCAGCCCTCAGCCATTATTTTTATTTAGATCTATTAAAACATTTTCAACTGGCATATATAATAGTTCAAGGTGTATTTTTTTAATATAACTCTCCATAGATGAGTGCTTTAGATGGGTGCTTATTATATCTCATACTCCTCTCCTACCTCTTCCAAGTGTTTAATGGGTTTCATTATGCAATCATCATACATATACATAGCAATATATACTTTGATCCTCTTCACTGCTCAGTACCCTTTCCCTCTTCTGTTTAACATCATCGCCTCAAGGTCCCCTTTTTACATTCACATTTTTTTTTAAATTTTAATTTTTTTGTTGGTCATGGGGCTTGAACTCTGGGCCTGGGTGCTGTCACTCAACTCTTCAGCTCAAGGCCAGCACTCTACCACTTGAGCCATAGCGCCACTTCTAGTTTTCTGAGTAGTTTATTGATAAGAGTTTCATGGCCTTTCCTGCCTGGGCTGGCTTTGAACCGTGATCCTCAGATCTCAGCTTCCTGAGTAAGCTAGGATTATAGGCGTGAGTCACCGGTGCCCACCTCATTATTATTTTTATATCATCGTTGTCATCATCATCATCATCATCATGATTTTAGGTTTTGATTCTACAGATAAAAAAAATGTGTGTTATAAAAAAAAAAAATGTGTGTAGCCGGGTGCCGGTGGCTCACACCTGGAATCCTAGCTACTGAGGAGGCTGAGATCTGAGGATCACAGTTCAAAGCCAGCCCTGGCAGAAAAGTCCATGAGACTCTTATCTCCAGTAAACCACTAGAAAACTGGAAGTGGTGCTGTGGCTCAAGCGGTAGAATGCTCGCTTTGAGCTGAAGAGCGCAAGGACAGCGCCCAAGCCCAGAGTTCAAGCCCCACGACCAAAAAAAAAAAAAGTGTTATTTGGCTTTTTGGGCTTAGATTATGTCAGTCAGTATGAAATGATATCCAGTTCTATCTATTTTGCAGTAAATCACATAGTTTCATTTTCTTTATGGGTCAGCCATCATTTGTTACTGAAATTTTTACCTAATTTATACATGTTTCTGTTAGCAATTTTTATTTCTGTTCATATTCTCATTCACCTTATTCAGTTTTCTGTGTTCTTGTTTAGGCTCATTAAACATCTTTTCAATTGTTTTTTTTTTTTTTTTTAGTTCCTTAGGTAGTTCATGAATCTTAAGCTTCCTGATGGTCAGTTTTTAATACTTTATTTTGTTCCTTAGAACTACATTTTCTTTTGTTTCTCTTCTTTTGGTGGAAAAAATATATTTATAATGAGCCAGCTGGACTCAGGTGATTGCAGGTTTGTTGGCAACATCTAAAGTATCATCATCAGGAGTCAGTGGAACATAGGCTTTCTCTCCATCAGGTCTGGTCAGGGAATTGCCCTTCCCCACGTCAGTGTCACTGTTTGGTCTGATGCTTGTTGGCCGTGACATGAACACAGGAACACAAGTGGGTGGTTGTCCTTTGTTTTCTTCATGGCTGACTCAGTGCTTGGGGGAACTGGATGATAGCACAGTGGTCAACTTGTTTCTCCTCGGAGCACTCTTCAAAGGTATTTGGGCTGTCTTCATTGCTGCAGAGTCTCGGGCTGCTGGAAGGTGGATGAAGTGCATATTCTCTTCTTTTTTGTGGCTGTGGACACCTTTCAGCACTGCCTTCTTGGCTTCAAAGCCTTTTCCTTGGCTTTGGCTTTAGGAGTGGCAGGAGCTCCCTTCTTTGCTTTCGGCGCCATCTTGGTGAAAAGGCTCTTCTGTTTCTTTGTATGCTGTGTTAACTTGGTTGATTTGTCCATTTAAAACACCAGCAGTGCTGGGCACCAGTGGCTCATGCCTGTGATCCTGGCTACTTTGAAGGCTGAGATCTGAGGATCATGATTCAAAGCCAGCCCGGACAGCAAAGTCCGTGAGACTCTTATCTCCAATAAACCACCAGAAAACTGGAAGTGGCGCTGTCTCAAGTGGTAGAGTGCTTGCCTTGAGCTGAAGAGCTGAGGGACAGTGCTCAGACCCAGAGTTCAAGCTCCACAACCAACAAAAAAAAAAAAAAAAAAGAAAAAGAAAAAAAACCCCTCAGATCTCTAAATCTAGATAATGAAAATTATAAAATGTATTGAAAACAGTTAAATGGCTTAAATAAATGGCCTTGGATATATACCATAGATAGTAGAAGGAATATTTAAAGGCATTTAGTTTGATTCTATGTAATTCCAATCAAAATCCCAAAAATGATTTTGAAGAAGTTTGTCTTGAAATTTATATGGCACAATGAAGGGTCAAGGCACTCCTGAAAAAAACATATATGGTGATAGAACTTGCCATATTCAATTTCAAGACTTACTATAAATCTTTGTTGATAAGCAGCATGCCATTGGCCCAAGGACTGATTGACTTCTGACAGATTCCCTGTAGGGAAACTTGATTTGTGCGTAAGAAGGAACTGAGAACCCGGGATGGGTCTTGAGACATTCGAGTCTACATAATTATCATCCTTAGTTCTCATCATTCATCAAGATAAATTCTACATGGGTTCTGGAAATAAATGTAACAAGCAGGCAACTATCTTTCTAACCTTTCTAGGGTATAGAGGAATCTTTAAATTCCCCTCAAAAGTGCTAAACTCATAGTTAAGGCTGGATATTTGAGAATATCTGTTTGGAAAGAAGGAAGGAGGGGAGGAAGGAAGGAAGAAAGGAAAGAAGGAAGGAAGGAAGGAAAAGAAAGGAAGGAAGGAAGGAAGGAAGTTAGGGAGGGAAGGGTAAAAAAAGATAACCCAGAAGTGGAAAAATCATGCAACATCTAAAAGTGAGCAACGATTATTAGCCAGAATGTATAAAGCATCCCTTAAAACAGAGGTTCTCTTCTTCATTCATGATCAAAGAAATGAAAGGTGGAACATAGTTAAATACTGTTTCATACTCACTGGATGAAATGTGTGAGTACCAAGTACTGGTGAGGCCATGTCTTCTAGGGCTTGCTGGTAAATGTGAAGATGGCTTGGAATACTTGGGAAATGGAACAGTACCTAAATGTCAGACTTCTAGTTGCTCTCTGGACCAGAGGCAGCCTTGTGTAGAGTCCCAGAAACTTGTAGAACAACATTCCCAGAAGACCCTTCACTGAAGAACATTCAGGACTAGTTTGTCAGGGCTGTGAATAAACATTTATAACTGTGAAACACCAATGTCACTAAACCATAGCTACATATCATACCTGGATATATCTTGCAAAGACAATAATGGCAAAATTCATGTCTTTTGGAATGCACATGTCATGAGATTGATACTATAAAGAAAGAAGACCATGTGGAAGATCAGGAGCACATTTCAGAATGACCATCAGCTCTGAATGTGATGTTGTTGGAATGTCAATGTTGGATTGGGAATAGGTGGTTGGTGCTCATTATGTTAGCATTCTTTGTGATTTACATGGGAAGCCCATATCCTTCACTATTAAAGACACGAGGCAGCACTTGTCCCAAGTTTCTGACTTGTGACTCCGGCTTTTGGTAGTCAAGCACCACTGATATGATGCTTTGCATTTCCCTTGGGTTTCTGGGTAAGCTGCAGCCTATTCAGGGCCTAGGAGGCTGCTTTCTCCACTCTGTAGCCAATTCTTGGTGCTGTTTGTAGGAAAACAATGTTGTTTGCTCCCAGAATGTTACATAACAGTTCAGACTTGGAGGAAGAACCAATTGGCAGATAAGGGAATACATCACATAATTCTCAATTCTTTGATGTGGAAAACTTTGTCACTAGTCCAAGCTGTCTTGCCCTGTGGACACTGATGTACATTTGGTGCTTTTGTTGTACTTGGAAAGATTTTGCCTCTGTGATGGTTACTATTTATAATGAGAAATCTTATTGCATTAGACACTGGTTTAACAAATTTTTGTTCTGCAACCTTCTTGTTTCATTGGAAATAGAGTTTACCAAGGCTGGACTCCTCTTACCATACAAAGTAAGAAAATATTCCTAGAGGAGAGCCCTCACATCAACTCTTTGGAGTGGTTTACAACACTACCCCTGCTCTACTCTGTTTTTATTCTGTAGCTTTCTAGATTCCCAGAAGTTTAACATTCTTCTATCTTCCATTATGCCTAAGGAGTTATGGCTGTTACGTGTCCTCTTAGAGATCTTCTGGCACATTTCACACTCCTTCCTGTGAATATGAAGGGAGACATCTGATCTGCCTCTAAGCAAACTTAACTGTGTGGAAGAGACCAAGGGCAGGAAAATGGATATTTCACATATGTCCTTTGTGTAGCCTGTCCTCTCCCCATAAAATCTGGTTCTAAGTATAGAAGAGTCTACATACCTGGGAGCAGGCATCCAATCAGACAAAATATGATATGAAAGACAAGACATAATACCAGTAAAGCACAAATAATCACTTAACTGTAAATATTAATGTTGTTGTAAAACATAATTAACAAAGTGGAAAATATATTTGGACAAATTTAAAACTATTATTCTGAAACTGAAAATATCTCCTTATTCAACAGAAACTATGGATTCCAATTAATTAAGAACATAAATAATTAGAACTTATAAAATGTCCAATTACACAGTAGCTACTAATAGATGAATAAAAAGCCATTGTAATTCCAAAACATCAAGAAGGGAAGGAACAAATAAAAAGACATAGAAAGAAATGTGCTCAGAGGTGGACATGTCTGTGTATACACACACACACACACACACACACACACACACACACACACACACACACACAGTGCCAGTTTTACCAGGGAATCATGATAAACATGATTAGTTCTCCTGTTAAAAGGAAAAACTTTCCAATTGTGTCAAAGCTGTGGATATTTATCAAGGAAACATAATATATTAAATCTTCTATGTGCTAGAATTAACCAAGATACACCAGAAAAGTACTAGAAACAGGCAATGCTGTGGCTGTAATGACCAGAGGTGATGACTGGTGGCTGTAGTGACCAGCTGTGATGACTGGTCGCTGTAGTGACCAGCTGTGATGACTGGTGGCTGTAGTGACCAGCTGTGATGACTGGTGGCTGTAGTGACCAGCTGTGATGACTTGTTTGTGTAATGTCCAGTGGTGACAATTTGTGGCCATAATAATCACAGGAGAGAACTTGTGTGGGAGCCACTCCATCTTGAATTTGGGATCCATCTTGGCCTGTAGGTCAAGGGAGTTCAAGCTTGTTTGTTCCAGGAAGTTGTAGAAAAAGCAGAAAGAACCTGTTGTTTTGCTAAAGAAAGCAGCTGCTGTGAGCCAGGAGGAACTTAGTGGTCAGATAAGGAAGTTGAATGTTTTTGACCCTGAGATGGCGTGTCAGTAATTGTTTCTGTGGAATTTCCCTTGTCCCTTGGAGCTTGTATATAAGGCCACTGTAAAATAAACTCGGGGCGGCTGCAGTATTGACAGACAGCCCTTCGGCTCTATTCTGTCTCTGTCTTTACTTAATCCTCACACGGTGAGTCACTCGGGCATAAGTGTAAATATGAGTCAAGGTAATAGTAGACAGCTGTTTGTACATTGCTTAAGGATATGTTAAAAGCTAGGGGTGCTAAAGTAGAGCATCAACAATTACAAAAGCTTTTAGAATTTGTAGAGAAAATTTGCCCTTGGTTTCCCAAGACCCCCGAACCGGAGAGTGTACCATGGATCAGTGAGTCTCATCGTCTGCTTTCTTTCGTTTTGTTGCTTTGTTTCTGGGGCCCGATATCTGTATTTGTGAGGTTGGCATAAGACCCAAGCGACTTGCGCTGGCGGGTTGTCAAACAGGGGTCTTGGAAGGTGTGCCAGACCCCTATGATGGGACGAAGCGGGTCTCTCCCAGGGGTCGGCGTGCGTCAGCCCGACGTCCTACTTTTGGTTTTCCTATGGTCGACAGGAGGTATTTTCTTTCTGTCTGTCTGTGTGGCTACAGTTTTTGTCTGTGTGTATATTTTACTCTGTGACAGACGAAATGGGACAGATTACTCCTCTTTCCCTTTTGACTTTCAATTTTAAGGATGTAAAGGGAAGGGCACATAATTTGAGTGTAGAAATTAGAAAGGAAAAATTAATTACACTTTGCCATGTAGAATGGCCCTCCTTTGAAGTTGGATGGCCAGCTGAGGGAACCTTTGATCTCGCTACCATCTATAAAGAATGTGATTTTTCTTTCCAGGAAGAAGCGGCCACCCAGACCAAATTCTATACATTCTGGTCTGGCAAAGTCTGGTTAAAAACCCTCCCCCTTGGTTAAAACACTTTTTGCCCCCTCAGGAACAATTGCTGAAAAAGACCCTGGTGTTCTGAGACCACACCGACAAAACAGGGCAAAATGATACCAAAAGCTCAGCCTTGGTGCCTCTTTATCCTTTCCTACAGGGTGGTATCAAGGAAGACCTAATTTTCCCCCCACCTTACCAGCCACCACTAGCAGCGGGCGGTGTGGAGATTAATCTGCCCCCATTGCCTGATGGTGGTGGAGCAGCAGCCATAGAGGGACTGGCCGAAGGGACCCAAGGGAGAGCTAACAGGGCAACTTCCCCAGGCCGGCAGATTCAACTGCCCTGCCCCTGCGTGCTGCAGGACCCTGATGAAGCTGGTAACTAACCCTTTTACTACTAGAGATTTGTGTAACTGGAGAACCCAAAATGCGTTTCTGACAATCCTAAAGATTTAATTAGCCTTTTAGACACTGTTTTGTTCATGAAAGGATCAATGAAAGGATCCTTCACATCCATGTCAGGGGACTGTGCGGAGGCAGACAGGCACAGGAAAAAGATTATTAGAGGAGCCATATCCTCCTTCCCCTCCCCCAGAGAGACACATGGCAGCCTCCACTATCTAGATAGCAGCAGTTCTCAGGGATAGGAAGTAAGGTAGATGGGAGTTTTGGTGGGTCTGGGCGGAGAGAGGGAGCGGCCAGCAGGTCTGGGTACAGCTGAGGACCAAAAGTGGGCATAATACTTACATTCCCCACTCTGTTGTTTAATAAATATTAAGGGGTACCAGGCCGGGGATATGGGCAGAGGTCGTTTCTTCTGGAGCTACTTCCTGCTGTAAAGGGGCGAAGTGGTCAGGGGTCCGAGTACTGTCCAAGAGGCATCTGCTTGACAGTGTTTGGTAAAGGTCCTCCTTTTTCCATGCAAGCAATTAATAAAAGGCAAAAAATTGTTGTTAGTACCCCAAGAGAGGAATATGCCATGGAGGGATTGATACCCAGAGGGAGCTATCAAAGACCTGAAATTGCCTTTTTTGTCTTGGATTGGAGATATAGCATGGTACCTGACTCCTGGCATCCTGGAGGAGGGGTAATAGGACTTTTTCTGCTTTTAGGTTCACAGTAACCTGAGGAGGAGGTAACAGAGATATTTAAAGGTACCAGAGCCAGCAGGTGTCATGGCCTCTTTTGGCTACTTCCTGCTTGCCTGGGAGCATCAAGGAATCCCTGGAGTGGGGTCTTTAGGGTCTGGGTCTGTGCTGGGCAAGGCAGGGCAGTATAAGTGATACCTCCAGTTGCCTGTAAGAACAGGATGGCCTTGACTTGTCCCCAGGTGGTATCCTGGGCAGGGATGTTATCCTGTTGAAAGAGGCTTGGAAAGATCAGGCAAAAAGCTGACAAGTTGACAGGGTCAGTTAATATAAATAACATAGGAAAACACACATTGGCCATGGGCCAGAAAAGTAACATTTGGAGTATAAGCCCAATTGCAGCCCATTGTTATGGGGAAAGAGTCTGCTACTCAGAGACAGCCTCAAGTAAAGAGATGACTTTATTGGGGAAGTGGATAGCTGACTGGCCAGGGACGCAGCACAGACTCGGGAGCTGAAACTGTGACCCTGAACGGCCCACAAACCAGGGTTTTTAAAGGCAACATCCATGTGGTCCAGCCTGGCCACATGCAGGTGGCCAACGGGATTGTAACACATTGCATATTCATGTCAGTGGCCAATCGAGTTTCAGTCCATCTCAAAGTAACTGTTTGAACTAACATCATTTTGGTTTGAATTAGTGTGTGAATTTGGGGGTTCCCACACAAAGCAGGTGGAAATTCTTATTCTTGGGGGCTGAAATAAAGCTGCTCCTTCCTGGAGGGGTAAAGGTGGCTAGGCTGTTCTACCATTGTTAACCAAACAAGGCTGCAGATCCTGTCTGCACTATTGATAACCAAACAGGG